TAGTAACAAAGAAACAGAATTTTCCGGAGGATGAGGCCCAGAAATCAGGATTTTAAAAAGATTTCCAGGTGATTCTAATGTGCAGCCAAGGGTTGAGAACCACTGCTCTAACGTGAAATCTCTGATATCTCAGACATTGGTATATGGAGGTTTATGACGGCTTATTATTAGAACAGCGGAGTTAATGCATGGATTCCTTGTTGTGATTGCAGTTGTGAAGACTTCATATTATATGAAAGCAGTTGTGGTTTAAAGCGAAAATTAGTGTGACAAAATGAGCTTAACCGGGTAATACTATATAGTCATTAAAATTAGTAATGTAAGGACCTAGTTGTCTTGCCTTCATCATAATATCATAATTTCATTTCTTACTTGGACTGTAAGTAGCCACAGTAATCTCTGCTGCCACACTTTTAATTACCCATTTTCATCCTTCACGCTGCAGCTAATAATGTTAACTTTCCAAAAATCATCCCTGATTATGTAACTCACCTGCCCATTACCCTTCAACAGCACAGAGTCAAAGCCTTCTGTGACGGGCTCTGCCTTTCTCTCCGCTCTCATTTCACCCGGCCCCTTTCTAGCACTTTAAGATCTTAAAATTCAAAACTGAGTGCGCCGTGCTATTTTATAGTTCCACGCCTTTGCACTGCAGTCTGGAATGTTCTCTTCCTCTTTGGCTGGTAAACTCATTTATCCCTTAAACTCCCTCTAACTAATTTTCTGTACCCGTGTATCCTAATGCTATTGATTGCACTTACCACCTTTTATGTGACTAGTTATTCACAGTCTGTCTCCTTTATGAAAATGAGCTCCTTACACAGCAGGGTCCAGATCTTATTTATGTTTGTTTGTATCAAAGTTTGCAGGAGAATACATCCTAAGTACTCAGTGGACAGTTGTTGAGTTGGACTAAATATTTTGGACTCTCATTTTAATGAAAGGGTGTACCATTTTTGTAAAATAGATTTCTGATCATCTTCCCATAAATCAAAGGTAACCATGCAGAGAGTTTTGATTGTTTTAAGAGCAAGGGTAACCAACTGGTAGTTCTTCAGTTTTTATTCTACTTGGCTTTTTCATTTCTTTCACTGATTTCCCAATGTGTATTAGAAATCACCAAGGCACATCGTCAGTAAATGCATCTTTTTGAAGATACCAAATGAAGGGGGCATTTAAAATACCTCATATTGTATAGTATTTTATATCATTAATAATAACACTTTTGCATAAATACTCTTTAATCTTTACAACACCTTGTGAAAATGTGGAACTGAGAGCTTGTGTGACATGTCCAAGGCCACAAAACTAGAAAATGGCATGCTCTAAGGTAGGTACTTTCACAAATTCAGGTCTTTAAATGGAAATGACGCATTATTAAACTGGAATTTAGTCTTTGTATATTTTTCAAGCTAGAGCGTGCGTAAGAAATATTCCATAGGAAGAATGGCAGCAAGGCCACTAGAGTTGATGGTGTAACTGGAGTGCCATACACAGGTGCTCTCCTTTGTTCCTCTGTGGAAAAGGCGAGGATTATATATCCAGGACACGTGGAAAGAATTTTCTTTTTTTCCAGCTTGCCTATTGAGTTCAGATAGAAGGAATTCCAAATATGTGACAAACTGCTATTGCCTTAGTTATTTTCTGAGCTTTTGATCATGTGATGGTTCTCCATCAGAAAGTGAATGTTGGCAATATCAAAAAACAGAAGGACCCAAACACAACCAGTTTAAAGCTGGATCACAAGATTAAAAGATAATCCTGAATCTATCTTCTTATAATAAATACCTTCCTTTAATTCATAAAATATCTTGTATTAAGTTTTTAGATTACCACATTATTGTGCTTACTTTTTCTTCCCATTTTCTGCCCTTTTGTCCTTTTTGCCAGTTAACTTCTTCCAGATATTTTAAGAGGAATTGGGAAAGGTTCAAAACTGGTCATTGAATCTTGCTATTTATTAGCACCTCTTGTTTAGTGATTGTAAAATATAGATCTGTAAGGCGCTTGATAATGAATTGTAGCATTATTAACAATCATGAAAGCTTAGCTCAAGTAGCTAATGCTTTCTTTTTTATTTTAGAAAATTAGCTTGTATTAATAATTTAAACTTATTCAATTCTGGTGACATGAATTCCATAATAGAAAAATTGTTTTTTTACTATTGCCTCTGTAGTATATGGCACAAAGTAGTAAAGCTGATGAAGGAACATTTCAGGGTTTTGGAGTTTTTTTTTCCTGCTCTGGTTTTTAAGGCAATGCCTTGTTATGTCACTAGATGGCATTAGCTCTTCTGCTCATATCAGTGATAACTTTTCCAGCCTCAGTAATTTGTGTTTTTGTTGTTATTCAGTAAATGCACTTATAACAAGTGGTGGATTAAAAGCAGAAGTGTCTTAAGATGATCTTTTTAATATATGTTAACAGATTTTTCTAGTAGAGTTACAAAGTAACTTTAATTTTTATATTAGTACTGAAAATAATCTCTAAAGTCAAGCATGATGATAATTAAACTCCAATTAAAAACCATAGGCTTGATTTATTTGAGCTGTATATTATTTTACTTGGTTTGTAGAGCAAGGATCTTCGTGTATACATAATAAACTACTGATTAAAACTTTGGTTTGTAAATTCCTGGGATGATTTGTTAATCTGAATTGTCTTTTATCTTACCATCTACATAAATCCATAGTGCTTTATGAAATGTATGAATAACATTTCCATGCTATGTTTGAAGATGAAGATGAATCACCTGCTCTTTATACTAATTATTGCCCATATCAACAAAGGAAATATTCTGAGTATGGTACAGTTAGCAGAAAGAAATTGAAGACTTAAGGTTTTAACTATATTTCCTCTATAGTTTTATGATCTGATATCATTGGCTTCCAAAATTTTTTAATATAAAGGACCCTTTCAACATCAAAATAGTTTTTAGACCACCACGTGACAGTTGTTGAACTTTGAGTATCTGTTGTTGATGGAGAAAATAAAGTCAAAAGTTCAGTGAATTCAGTAATGTGCTTAAAATAAATTTGTATTTTGTAAATCATATCTTCTACAAGTTATTTATTCCATTTATGTGGTGTTCTTAAAGCCACACATTTGTTCAGAGAAATGGGAAATTAGCAGCTGGTCTGTGCTACCCTGTGTTTTATTGAAACATGTAGTTGGATTTTTTTGTTGTTATTTTTCTTTTTCTGTTTCTGTAGTTGGATATTTTAAGTTGAAAAAATGGTTCACTTCTCATTTTTGACATATTAATTGTCAAATTAATTTTTTGTAGCTACAGACATTAGAAAAGTTATAGAGAACATAGTTTTAATGTAAGGTTCTTCTCCATCCTCCCTCTCAAATTCTTCACAATATGAAGGAGGAAAGATGTCTGTTTTTCTATTACCATTGGAATATTCTCACCCTGCTAGGAATGGGATAGTGAGGGTAAGGGGAGTAGAACTAACTACAAAGGACATAATTGAAAATACAGTTTCAGTGAAACATCTACCTGTGAGTGATTTTTTTAACTGCAAAATGTAAGGAGCCTAGGGATGAGATAAGAAAGTTATTTGTTTGGTGGGAGAGGGGGGAGTTAAAGCAGATTGGAAGGGAAAAAATATCTGCTAGCCATTTAAATAACGTTATGTTAAATTGATGTGTGTGTGTGTGAAAAATAGTGTGTTCCATTTGTACAAAGTGTAGATTATATATTTAAATACAACATATGCTGTGGAATACATGGGAATAGCTTTTTCAGAACAAATCTGATTTTTGTATTTTAGGTTACCTTAAATATAGCACTAAAGGGTGAATTTTGTATAACAATTGAAAAAAAATCCCTTTTTTTACTTGCACTTTAAAATCAGAATTTTAAAAGTTAATTTTTGGTTTTTTATTGGGAAACTTTGAAAGAAACATTAGTTGAAGCTGATGGTATTATTACAAAGTAAATGAAATTGTAATGCTTTTTAAAAATTACTGATTGAAACTCTTTCTTTCCTGTTTAAAGATGATGAAAAAGATGAGCATACTTCTAAAAAGCGCAAAGTAGAACCAGGAGAACCAACAAAGAAGAAAAAGTAGAAAACAACAAATGACAGATTTTGAACTGCGAAACTTATTGATGAAATGGTTTTTTGGGCAGATAAGTTGATATTGTAAAATATGAAATATCATCTCCATGAAAGTACCTGTTAATAAGTATTGCTGCAGGAACTTTCCACTGTAAAATTCACTTTTTATTTAAAACTTGTATGTATTTAAAACGCAAATGGTGACTTGTGATTGTGAAGTTGACAACACTTAGAAGCATTCTTGCTATCACAGAACTGGTGACATGCTTTGAGATTTCTGTCAGATGTTGACATGCCAATGTTCTATGAACCTTTTATAAAGGAATGTATTTTTAAAGTAAATATAATGTAATGTACTGTGAACTTGTAGGGTGCTTTTCAACAGTGTTTGTACAGTGTAAATAGATCATGGAAATAAAATTACTTATTCAATAGTACTATTACTGCATTACATTAACATTTGAATATTTGTGACAGATACTCTCTTTGCCATGTGATGTTAATAGTAGGTATTACCATTTAGGGATTTCCTCCTGTGTTCCAGGTGCTTTGTACATACGTTATCTGTGATCCTCAAACAGCCTAGTAAAACAGGTATTAGTAGCCTTATTTTGTAATAAAGAGTAACATCCAAGGTTACACAGCTAGTGAGCAGTGAATTTGGGATTTAACTCACGACACTTGAGCTCTAAAATCATCACGCTAAACCATCTATCCGCCAATCAAAATTTAGGAACTGTGATTGGCATCTTTTCCAGGTACCCTTCTGTGGTAGGTAGTGGAGATCCTCTCCTCACCTGATTGTATTACTGCACGTATCATATATGTCTTATATTGTGAAAATTCATTGATTTCCCTGTTACATAGTAAGTTTGCTGAATACAAAGAGTTGCCAGATGTCAAAAATAAAAATACAGGACACACAGTTAAGTTTGAATGTTACATAAACAAATAATGTTTTAGTATGTGTAATATTTAAAAACTATTTATACTAAAAATTTGTTTACCTGAAAATCAAATTTAACTGGGTGTCTTATAATTTATCTGCCAACCCTACTTGTACATGTTTTCTCTACCCAGCTCCTATTTTAATGCTTGTATATAGTAATAATCAAGAAAACAAGATTGTAGTCAGGAAGATAATATTTGATTTGACTTATATGGTCAAATGTAGTGCTGTTATTTGTAACATTTTGAACAATAAAAGGAAAAACACTGCATTAGTCTTTCCATGATTTTTAGGCCTGTAAGAGACTGTTAATTACAGGACACACTGTATTTAGAGTGTAAAAAAAAGACATTAGTTTTAAAAAAATCCCAGTCCAATTGTTTCCCCCCATACCAGAAGCCAATCTTTAAACTATAAAATTTGTTTAGTTGGGAACATGATCAAGTAGATTAAAATTTGTGTCATTAAAAATATACCAGCCATGTTGTTTTTGGAATAAGCAAGGAACATAACAGTATGATGGTTTCTAGTATGTCTCAAACTTACAAAAAAACAATTCTGCAGCTGCTTATCCTCTAGGTTTACAAATGTATGAATCCCAAAATTGAAGTAATTGACAAAACAAGAAACTGTTTAAGGTTGAAGTCTTTGTATGTAAATAATTTGGAGGGGGATGGCATCAACTGGTAAAGCTTAACCCAATGTGGCACCAAATTAAATGGGATTATAATTATGAGGCAAAATGTATAGTCTGAATGCATGTATTGGTGGAACAGATAGCTCAGAAGTTGCTGAAATATTACAAAATTAAAAAAATGAAAGCAAACCATAACCCCACCAAAAAAGCCCATCAAGCCACTCTGAAAATCTTTTAAATCTTTTGTTCCACTCCCATTGGTTTAACTCACAGCTTATACCAATTAAGACAGAACAAAAGCTCACTACAGCAGTCCCCATTGGTGCTTTAAGCCTCCTTTCTAAAAGGTAACAGAATTGAGAGGAAACAGATACTACTATTTTTGGAGGGGTTGTATGTTTCAATATTTTAGGACAAGTAGTGGCCACACTTGCGATATTAAGCAACTTCTGGGAATGTGCATCTATGATACATAGGTCAGGCTAGTTTTCATTTGGGAGGGGGAAGGGAAGATAACAAGGAAGGTTAAATATTTTGGAACAGTTTCAGCCATTTGTATCTTGAGTTTCTTTTCAAAATATGGCCAATTAATGGGAAGGGAGATGAACTTGCTTATGGATTTCTTCACCTTCCACAGAAATATCCCTGGTTGGAAAGTAGACTTTTGTGGCGCTCCATCTGTCACCTCATTAGAGAATGGATTCTTTACCCCTTCAGAGATGTTTTTGGGAACATGTTTGCTTAGGGTGTCCATGTGGGTTCTCAGGTAAGAAGCTGCTTAGTTTAGCTAGTGAAAATCCAGTGAAAAAGCTTAGAAAAACCCACATAGATAAGAAAAATCCTCTAATCAAATTGCTTCCTTGTTAGAGAATCAAATCACTTGATATTTCTGATTGTTTGCTCATCTTTAGGATAAGGAAGTTGTATCAGGCATGAAGGACTTTTTTGTATAAGGATAAAATTGAGAAAAGAACTTAAGCATTTTGGGGTCATGTTTTAAAATTTAAAGTGTAAATAGCCTTATAGAGCTTTGTGGAAAACATTCTAATTGGAATCAAAGAGCATTGTTGAGAAAATCGACACTACTTTTTAGCCATTAAAATCATTTCCAAATGAGAGGGGGGACAATTAAAATATGAATGAACTAATGCAGCTTTGGACATGACCTACATATATATAAAACATGTTGCCACATGATTGAGATACAAAGCCCTACCAGAGATATTTGAAAAATGTAATTATTTTATAGATATTTGAATGAACTTAGCAACTCAACTTGATAGGTCAAAACTGATGAATTTAAATTCACAACTGGACTTAAAATGTATCCTTGGTGGAGTTTTGGATTTTAGAGTTTTGTATCCATACAGAACTGCTCCCGTTTTACCCTCCATGATCACAGTACAGGAGTGCCAGGCAGACAGTCCTACAAAAAGGTGTGAAATTCCCAGCAAGTGTTTTGTTGAACTTTTCATTAGGTTCTGAAGCTTTCTCTCTCTCCTTCCACTTAGTTCTCCCAATTTGAAGCATGGCAAATTTTAATGCAGGAGGGAAAAAAAAAGATACCAAGAAGCATTTGTATGTACTGCCCCCAGACATAGAACTTTCAGGCTGTTTTGTTTATTGATGAGCAATGCCTGGCACATAGTAGGCACTCAATGTAACTGCTAACTGTTGATGGTAAGCTGAATTCCTCACCGCAGGCTTAGGGGTGATCCAGCAGAGGTTTGTGTTTTCCGTTATATGTGCCAATAAATCTTGACAGTTTAAACCAATTTGAGTTAAGTTTTCTGTCATTTTCCATCAAAAACATCCCAATTGATGTGAAACTCTTCTTACTCTCTTGATTTCTCCCAGGGCCCCATGCTATCCTGGTTCGTGTCTCTGTAGTCTCTGGCTCTTTCTCTGGCAACAGTCCTTGAATGCCAATGTAGATTATATAGTTCCTTTCTCATTCTCCACACTGGTTCTGGATTCCAGCCAAGTTTCGGCCCCAGATTTGCATGTCCAACTGTATATTTCCCCTTGGTTCTCAAAGACCCCTCACATACCGGATGTCCAAAACCGGATGTGTCAAAACCCATGTCACCTCCCATATTTCATTTCTAGTTAATGGTGTCACCATCTAGAAATTTGCCCTCTGCATCACTTCCCATCACATAGGTTTGGGCAGTAAACCCTGAAGGTTCTCCTATTCTCACATGCCTCTTAATCTGGCTCAAATGAATTGTTTACAATTCCCTAGATATCCTATTAGCTTCATAGTTCTGTGCCTTCTCTTGTACAGTTTGATTGGCCTAGGCTTCATCTACGTACTTCTTATCCTCCAAGAAGCAGTTCAAACATTCCCTCCTTTATATACTTGGTTCTGTTTATCGATAAATCTGGACCTGTACATTGTTTTCCCCCATGCTCAGTACTAAATGAATAGCCAGCATTTACTGAGTACTCGTCAGGCTTGCTCTTGGTGCATGTATTAACTCATTTAATTCAATGAAGTATGTGCTATTACGAGCCCTTCTTTTCAGGGGAGAAAACTGGGCTTCCTCACTACATTGAAGGAGAGGAAGGAGCGCCTGAATGAGCCAGCAGATTGATTTATTAATTCCTGTCTGTTTCATTCAGAGAATGTCTTACCCCTAGAAGGCACTCAGAATACAAATATTTGGATAATTAGTGAATCCAAAACCAGTTCACCAAGAGTGCAGAATTTGTTGAATACACCAGAAACATCTTTCATTAGGCTGATGTAAAATGAAAGTCAATATGTAAATGTTTTAAAGAGGATCAATGACTTTGTAGCTTAATTACCACATATTTGGAGTATATTTGGAGTATTTTTAATTGAACACCTTAAAGCAATAGGGCTGGGAATACATCCCTGTCCCTTTAAAACTATATTTTAGCTTGTCAATTGTTTTTTAAAGCAACGTGAGATAGTTTTAAGCCACAAATTTTGCTTCAAATTTCATTGGCTTTTCTCTAACATTTCAAATTATGGCTTGAGTTTAGAACCATAGCACCGGGGCGTGGGAAGTCCTCCAGAGGTGCCCCGGTACAGCCTTCCCATAATGTAGGAATGTCTGCTCTGTGATCTTCGCCTCTCTTTTCAAGGCTCACAGACAAGCCCATGAAATGACAGGTTTACAGGCTGGATTGAAAAGTCATTTCCTGTGTGTCTGTAATATTTTGGTACCCAGGGTCTGGAACTCCTGTTCCTTTCCCTGTGTTTTGCCATTTTCTGAAAAAGGAGAAGAAACAGGATTTGGTGCATATCATTGAAGTAAAAGTGCAGCTCTATTCCTGGTATAATTACCTGTCTTTGTTTCTAAATGGGACAAAAATTCTAACAACCTTCCCAAGGACACTGGTGAGTTTGCATTAACATTTTAAATTTAGAATTCCTAAGCGAAACTGCAAGGAAATAACAAAACAAGCACTTCCAACTAAGGAGGTGACGTGTCTGCCAGCAAAGCTATAAGCAAGTCAACTCAGACATTACTCCTCTGAGGCTCACTGTGCAGAGGGATTTTAAGACTCTGTTGCTAGTTTTTGCTAGTTTTCAGTTTGGAAACACACACACACACACACACACACACACACACACACACACACACCCTCCTGAGGCTTTAAGAGTCTATAGAACCTTGCTCTCTTTACCATGTTCTGCCTTCAGGCCTTCCCCTCCAATCTTCTCCTTAATTACAAAAAGTGGTCCAAAAGCCTTAACAGTAAAATGTCTTCCATAACATCTGGAATTCATATGTCAAATCTGGAAGGCATACCGTCTTGATTTTTTTCCCTCTCTTAAGCTTAATGACTTGAGCTCCAAGTGCCTGCTGCCCCTGCCTCCCTCCATACCAAATGAATTAGGGCAATTACCTGAGCCATCCAGGGCTGCAGATCTGTTAAAGCCTGTTATTGAGGTTAACAAATGAGAGGGTTAATTTCTCTAGACTGCTCCGCAGTTGGGGAAGAAAGATAAGGTAGGGTGCTTTTGAATTTTCAAGCTTTTTTCTCTACAGCAAGCTGCCACCCTGGAGAAGAGCTTGCTTTGGGATTCCAGACTGTCTGGAACCCTGAGGTAAGTGACTGAATTCTGAACCAAATCCCTGGAATTCACTACCACTCATGAAAGAGGCTCCCCTAGCCTTGCTGCTTCAACTGTAAAAAAGAGGTGGATGCTTTTTTTAAAGGAATAGGATTGCCAGGTAGTAGCCTCTGGCACCAACTTGGCGATGTTGACTTAAAACCTTAGACAGTAAGTGGCATTTTCTAGATAATTTGGCCAGGGCCCTGTGTATTTTTGACTTATTTACAAGTTGCTGAATTTATCCAGCCACTTTGTCTAATTATAAACTGCCTAGGTTTTTCTATTCTTTTTCCACTTTTGTTTCCACTGTAACAGTATCAAGGCTATCCTATGTCAGTCTTGCTGGGCAGCCAAACCAGAGTTCCTAATTTAATCTTTTGCCCAGGAGGTTTTTTTCAGATCACACAGCCTAGTGTTGAATTTTTTTTTTTAAGCCCCAGGGAGTTAGTTGAAGAGATTAAATTTTCTTAGCATCACCATAATTTCAACTAATTTTTCCAACAGGGGTTTGTGAAAATGTGATAAACAGTGATGGAGAACAGGTTTTCTATCGCCTCACAGAAGTGCCAAAAAACCTGTATGTCACAGAAGCAAAAAAAAAAAAAATTTAAGTGCATTCTTTACTACAAGTATATTTAGCCTTTTCAAGGACAGGAACAATGTTTACACCAAAATACAATAATTCTTTATATTTAAGTCACATTTCAATTCTCATAAAATGAATGTTAGATATAAATTCTTTATAATACTAATGTTCATTTTCAAATTTTCTAATTATGAAAATGATACATGTTCACTGTGGAAGTTCTAAAAAAAACTAAAAGAAACAAGAAAATGAAAATCACTTTTATCCAGTAACATTTTGATATAAAGTATTTGAGTGTTTTTCTATGCATATCTGTATATATCCAGAACAGTAAACATTATCAATTCCATTAAGAGTTCTTCAGAAACTTAATTTTTATTTTCATTTATCTATTGGACATTAAAATTATTTCCATATTTTTTCACCACTAAGATGAACATCGTTGTATTTGGTTGTCGTATTTGATCGTAGAACTACTTTTGTGAAAAAGCATTCAAGACGGAGTCGTTTGTAAAGTTCATCCAGTTTGCTTGACTTATTGCTCCTAACTTCTTGAAACCACATTTAAACAGGTACTTTCACATTTTTTTAATATCTCCTTGAAATCCCAAACATTAAATCTCTTGCCAGAAGCCAAACCCTTATAAAAGCATTTTGGCATTTCTAAAATATGTCCTCCTTTTAGCTGTTTTGAAAAACCACGTTTCTTTTTAGACTGCCCCAAAAGCTACCCAGATTCCAAAAAGCTACTCACCAGTGCTCACATTCAGAGCACGGTTATTTTACCCACAGCAAAAGGAATTTGTGGCTACTATGAAATGAACACAAAATCGGAGGTGAAAAGAAGACTGAGGGAAAACAATAATAAAGTAGACAGCTTTTCCCCCTCCCGCTTCTACATTATTGGCCATATTATTGCAATTAACAGAGAAAAACCTTAGGTGGAGCCAAAGGCTACTAAAGGAATACCCTGGGCATTCAGGCCAGACCTCTTGGATTCCCCACAGCAGCCAGCTTACCCAGATGCAGGAGGCACCCAAAGCTAGACAACTAAGTAGGGAGAGTGCATGGGAACACACACTTAAAAAAAAAAAAAAGCCCTGGCCAGTTTGGCTCAATGGAAAGAGCATCAGCCTGTGGACTGAAGGGTCCCAGGTTCGATTCCGGTCAGGGGCACATGCCTAGGTTTCGGGCGCGGTCCCCAGTGTGGGGCATGCAGGAGGCAGCCAATCAATGATTCTCTCTCATCACTGATGTTTCTATCTCTCTCTTCTTCTCCCTTCCTCTCTGAAATCAATAAAAATATATTTTAAAAGAAAAAAGGAAAGAAAGAAAATGCTTCCTTATCGGGCTTGTGGAATTGGGGAAATTCCACAAGAGCTCCCAGCACAGCTTTACCAGAGAGTTAAAAAGCAGACTCCCAAGAGAGGCGCTCCCTGGGAGAAGTAACATTATCCTAACTCTCATCTTGTCACTTAATCTCTTACATTGTTGCCTCCCTGCAGGGCATATATTTTACTAACTGATTAGGGACTGCTGGGGAGTCAGCAGGGCCTTACATTTCTTGTGGGACAAACTCAGGGACCCAGCACAAGGCAATAAAGTGAGAAATTGTTCCATAAGTAATCGAACAAATGAACCAACCCTTAACATCTTACAGCAAGTGAGTGTTCAGGTCTTCTCCTGCCGCCTTTTCTCAGTGGGGACCCAGCAAAGCCCTGAGGGGAAAAAGCACTAGTAAAGTGCTGTTTCCAATGTCCTTATTTCCCTGGATTGGCCCTGAAGGAAGCTAACCAAGTCCGATTCTGATCCTGTACCTCAGTTAATCCAACTATGAATAAGCTTCGATTAACTGGGATCCTCACTCTCCACCCCTCTCAATGTTTAGAAAAAATGTTTTAAGAACAAGAATTTTTACTAAAACACACACACACACACACCCCTATAATTACTTCTCAGGGTTGGCCCTTGACTAGATGTGAAGTTTCTCTATTAATGTTTCGAGAAGTGTGTCCCAGGAAAACTCCCGCAGATGCTCTCAGAAAAGGGCGTCGTTGACCCAGGCGAGGATCCCTTCCTGCTAGAAATTCACAATG